CTTTAATGACTCTTCTCTGGAATTTATTTCACGTCACAGCTCAATCCTAACATTCTTTCCCCACAATAAGGATATTGTCTTCATAGCTGAAGTCCAAACTACTTCAGCTTTGCCTCTATAATGTACCTCAAAACTGCTTGACATTGGATTCTTTATTTATATTATTATTCTTATTCCTAAACCTGTCTATCCTTGTCATCCCCTTAAAATCTCAACATCTTCAACTAAAATTACTATCGTCACTATAGATCACTATGAGAATTGTTAAGAACAGGTATCTCTTAATTACAACAATTAAGCTATTACAGGATTTATTTTCTAACTTTTCTATTTAACTTTGAACCGTCCCACAGAGAAAACAGTTAGACAAAACCTACAGGCATTACAGAAAATAAAATTAAAACTACGAGCAAATCCAATCAGATTCTGCAGTCTGATTCAAAATATCAGGGAAAAGGAAAGAAAAGAAAGTCAAAGGATGTCTTTATTTAAGACAGACAAAATACACTCTTGATTGCATTTATAGTATTGTTTCTCCTCTGTGTTTCCTCTCTAAACTTTCACTGAAATGACTGTGGCCTTTCTTGTCCCCAGAAGTCATTAAAAGCATAATCTCACTTATAGACTCAGTCTTTTTATATGGCCTTCTAGATTCAGGCATTGTCATGTTTTCCATGACAGTCAAATTTTTCAGACCTGAATGTAAATAGGTCTGTAGACAGACTTTATTCAAAGCAGAGAGAAAAACAGTGACATACGCAAAACACTGCTGAGGCCTTGGGCAGTGTTACAGTCCCCGAGTGGTGACAGCTTTGTGTGCAGGTCATTAAGCAGCTCTGGTACCATTTACTTTGACTATTCAAAACACTGGCCAAAACATTTTCTGAGTGATGACAACCACTGGTTACAAAGCAGCACCTAATGTCAAGCTACACACAGATCAAAACATTAGTTCATATATATATGTTCATATATATATATATAAACATATATATATGAACATATATATATATATAAACAACAAAATTAAAATTCTTGGTCGAAACCAAAACTAAACATCAATAACATCAATGCACAGCAATTGCATAAACTAATATGCACTTTTGAGCCAGGATTTTGGGTGGCATCTCTTTAACTTATATATGTATGTGTGTGCGTTATGAATCTCAATTAATTATCAATGGTGTAACTGGTGTCTCAATAATTTGAGAGCCAAATGTAATACTTTTAGAAATTTTAATTCGTACCAGTATCTTAATGAAAACTTTAATAAATTTTCCTAGTCAATAAAAGACATTCCAAACAATGTTATTAAAATGTGTCATTTTTGAGGCTTCTAAAAACTAAACAATACTGTAATTTTTAATTATTTTTTAAAAAGCATGCTTTTTTGTAGCCATGGGGGTTTCCTCTAAATAAAAAAAATGAACATGTCATTGTGCAAAAATACTAGTGTCTAAGTACATAAATGTTCATATACAATCTATTGAGTTAGGCTCAATACCAAATTATTGTTACCAAAAAAAAAAATCAACTGTAGAGACACTGTAGAGAAGAATTACACAATCTTGAATGCTGTATATGTCCAATGATGCAACACACCTCTTTGAAATAGTTCCAGTCTATTTCTAAAGGGAAGGTTTGACAGCAGAGACGAAAGAATCGCCAGATTGCTTAACCACAATATACAGAACCTTTAAAGTAATGGAAGACATAATCCAGAAGGCACCACTAATGGTCCATTAAAATTAAAATGCATTGTTAATGAGAGAACTGTGTTCAGTGGAGCAAAGGTTCATGTGGAGATGCTGTTCTGGTTGTTCTTCAAGAACTTTCCTTAAGGGCACAACTTACAGAAGAAAATAGTTTAGGGGTAATTTACAGTTGTAGGGTGTTACTTTGAGAATGTTCCCTTTATTAAAACTATTGGGAAGAGTAACTATGGCACCTGGCCATTTTATTTTGCAGAGTTCTTTAATTCATATTATCCATTTGTTCTGAAACCTAGAGGTAAGGTTAGTTTTTGTTGTTGGGCTCGTTCTGTGCCCGGAGTTGGTGCTTTATAGTGCCAAAAGCTACATAATCATAAATGAGTGGGAATATTTGGGAAACAATGAGGAATAGTCTTCTGTTGCTTTCCTCAGGAAGTATCACACTAGATGATCCATACATCCATGAAATCCATAAAACAAATAAACAAAACCACAACCAGTGATTATTCAACTGATCTCCCACACTATTAGTAGAAACCGTGATAGCTGACTGATGCAAGAGAGAAAAAAGGGTATAAAAAAACAGAAGCAGGGTCTCAAATGTAGACATGCCTAAATGCAGACATTTCTGTACAGTACTATCAGATTATAACCACAGATCAGCAATTACTGACCAAAGCCATATAATCCCCAAGACTAAAATCCACTGATGGAGATTATAATCCTCTTCATATTTTGTACTTGCAAATACAAAAACAAACAAGTAAACAGAGAACCCCTAATTACAAACAAATGGATTTAAGAAAAACACTAAAAAGGGACAGTTTCAGGTCTGAACACAACCTCTTGAAAAACTGTTGAGTATAAACCCAGGGATAAATGTTCTTTAGATACAGTTGTCACAGATGATATATTAGTAGCTAATAATGTAAAATTTGCTTCTTAAAATTAAGCACCTTAAACTGATTTCTCTATAATTTGGCAAAAAATGTGCATAAATAAGAATGTTTTTTCTTATATATGCACATAATTTCTAAAACTGGTCAGTTGCCAAATACTTCTATGTAGGGAATACATTATCATGTAACTTCAGACATCATATCACTTGTAAAAAAGTATAACCCCTGTATAAAAAGTTTGGGGGATACTGATTTAAAATGTGTGGTGTCGAATTAAAATTAAATAATCAAACTTTTATTCTTGAGACAAACATTTAGGCTCATTTTTATTTTTTGGTCACAAAATGCTCAATCGTCTTGTATTTTAGTTATCTGTAAAGATACCAGCCCTCTCCTCCACCACCATGTTGCCCTACGAATATACTTCAGATTCCTCAAACACGAAAATGCCTTCCTCAATAAAACAATATTGTACCCTGCACAGTTTTTACGACTGTGTGGTGAGAAAAAAAAATATCAAAGAAATCTTTCCTGCCAAGATTGGACGCATCCGATGCTCGGCATCTGTCTGTGTGTGTCTGCGAGAGAGAGCTGATGAAAAAGGCTTTGAACGCCATCTTGTTCATTGCAGCTGCCTGGGCCCTGAATACAGGAACCCATTCATTCGCAGAGGGAGAGAAGGAGGGAAGAAGGGAGGAAAGGAGGGGGCACACTGGCTAAAATGAATTAATCTTTATGGGACCGTGTATTCAAGCAGCTATTTTCGAACCACAATAATAAACGGTGATTTAACAAGAAGCTACGTGTATTCTTTAAGAAATGTATGCATTTTTTTTTAATATTCGCCACCGATCGGAACTAACTTAAGGGCTCGGCCGCAGCTGCATTCATCTTGCTGCCTCAGTGCAGGCGCAGGAGATCGGCTCCGCTTTCTGCGACAGCAACTTAAGCACATCCTAAAATCGGATTTCATAGAATAAATATCTAAAACACAATGTAGTTGAATAAACGATTCAAATAACAACGAGCTGGATTAGCCCTTGAGGCTTAAGCGCAGACCCAGCGTAGTCGTTTCAGCGGAATAGATCTGCGAGGCCCAGCAAGGCTTCGGTGTCTGTAGCTGCTAACAACTTAACCTCCAATAGAGCCGTGATCGAAATAAACAGATTGTCAAAAAATCCAATTAGAATCTCCCTTTAAACCCATTAAAATAGAATGTTTAACTTAACGCCAAACTGTGTGTACAGTTGTTTTACTTGAATGGCTGAGATTATCATCTGGGGTAACAATTGTTAATTGTTGGTTTTATTCACTGGTGGGAATAATTTGATGTAAGAGTTGCTTATTTCCCTCCGTGACTCTTCGGGCTAAACTTAACGTTAACGCTGTGTCATACAAGAGCAGCGATAGTTTCGTTTTAGTTTTCACACCACAATGCCCGTAAAGCCAATTTTAAAATGGTTCGTCAAACTAGTGCCTACTTGTGGGGCATTCTGCATTACGTTTATAAGTCTACCAATCTATTCCACTGCGTTTTAATGCATACACTTATAATATAAAAAGTACTCAATAACAGCAATTATGATCAGGTGATATGGCTAGAACCGTAGGATGAGGCCACTACTGGCCAACTCCTGCATGTACTGGCTACAGAAACGAGCGGTGGGGGTGGTGTTAGCGATTCTGCTGCTGAAGTGGCCATTTTTAGATTCCCCTCCTTTGGCTGCTGCTTACTTGACAATTGCATGATGCCAAAGATTTAAAAAGACAATCCTAATCTATTTTTACGTTTATTTGACGTATGCAAACTCCAAGAGCCTTAACTGTGTATAATCATGACAACGAGCTGGCCTGGATTAAGTTGTTAATAAACACCAGCACTCAGACTTGATTTCCCCCTCTGTGGAACCTAGGGATGCGGAAAATGTAGGCCAACATTGAAATTAACAATGTGAGGAACTTGATGTAATGCATGTAAGCAGATGCACACATTATTGGGGAACATTCGTTATCAAACCAGAACCGATAGTTTAAGTAGGCAGCTTATTTATCCATAGAGACAGATACACCCGGACGTAGAAGAGAAGGGGTGCCTGGCTAACCTCTCGAGCTGTCACTATGTAACACACTGAACAACGTAAGCACCGATAATTGACTGTAATGTTGAGAGTAAAACCTATTAGTGGTAAACTATGTTCACCGGTGTAGTGTTTGACAGATATATTCGTCTTAAAATTATATTAGGTTCCTCCATTAGTGGCCCACACCCACTCTTTTCGCACTAGCCTAGCAGTGGGCTAACAGCAGCTAACCCAATTTAACCCTTTTCGCCCTGACACTTAATGCATTTTTCCAAAGCTCAGTGTTATTGCAAATAAATCATCCTTACCCGCTTTCAGTCGAGGGAGTCCGTCGTTTTTAATTCACATTGACTGGAAAGAGCAAAAAAATCTCGTCTCTCCTCTCACTCCACCCAGGCGCTCTGATTTAGCTAGTGTAGCTACCGAGGAGCGGCACTCCCCGAACCCAGTTTTCAGCCGCCGAGGATGGAGACACACCGGCACAGAGGCGCAGAGACGAGGGCGGTGTTTTCTTGACACAAATATGCACGACACAGTCCTGTTTGTGGGTTCTTCTTCTTTAAAGACAAATTCCAACTTTAAGCAAGAAAGAAAACCCTTCTTGGCGTTCCTACAGTAGTCGTCCCTCTTTTTTTCTTCCTTCACGCCAGGCTTTCAGTGGCTTCTTCCTCCAGCCATCAAACAGCAGAAATGGGCGCGGTAACCCTGCACTCAGCACTGGGAAACCCCACGTTAAGGTAGCGTCACAACGTACGGCAAAGGGTCGGCGACCACTTCATAAGACCAGGAAATACTGCCATCTTTGGTAGCAGCAGGACACCAAAAATTCAACATTTAACTTAAGTGGTTCAAAATAATCCCAAACCAAAAGATACATTGTTGAAACAGAAAAACTTCAGTCATAACAAAAGACCCGTAAACTGAAGAGTCACTGGTACAGTAGTTGTTGGTGCTTTTGAAAATGAGTACCAGTTATACAGGTTATCTGGTAAGAAATATTGAGCCTCTTTAAAATATGTATATTATTTTTCAAATGTTACTCATTATTCAATTGTACAAACAAATTACTAATCTAAATAAAATGATAAACTAATCTGTGCTTCATTTACTTTGTATGTTTACATTAGGTCACAGTTGTACAAATATTATACAACACTTGTTGTGGTCTATTATGGCACAATTTCACATAAGTTGGCAAAAGCAAAACACACCATTAAACACTAACGTTTCATTAATCAACATGTGAATACAAATTTAGTTACTCTTTTTTGGAGGGTAATAGAAAATTAATCTGTGCACAAAGGTGAAAAAGGTAGAAAACATTGTTTTCACTGTTTATTTCTTGGTTCACATGCAACTGTAATGCATTTTTAAAGCTTTTTAAATTATATTGCTCTTGTAAGGGAGGATTTGCATCATCTAGAAATGATTTTCCTTATTTTTATATTTATTTGGACCAGGGTATTAATGGCTTCAGGCAAAATAGTGTGTTAAAAAGACCACGCATTTAATCACACTTTTCTCTTAGTCTCTCTGCTCCCTAATTGTTATCGCGCCAGTAACACTGATGTACACACGCTGCCTGGTAGGTGAACAGAATGCATTGAGTGTTACGTTGAATAAAATTGGGAAATATTCAGGCAAATATATTTATTTGACGTTAGCTTATTAAATAATTGTATTCTTATTCATATTCTGTTAATTTGTGATTGCTGATGCCTCTTTTTTTTGTCATAATTTATTTATATTTTGAAGCGTTTGGTCATTATTCTCAAATAGAGAAAGTGAAGAAATATTCTTTTTTCCTTGGTTGGGGAATACGACGGGGGTGGAGTTTTGGTGTCATATCCTATGTGGTCAAGGGAGCCATTCCTGTACATGCTGTATGCTAGGTTGAGGGGCATTAATCAATAACTAATTAGTTTACTGCAAAGTGTTGCGAATACCTAACATTTTGGACCTCACAGTATAAGTGTAAAAACATCTTTCACACAAACACATTTAGGGAACTCAGTTTGTTACAACAGCCAGCACAAGGAAATAACTGCCAAACTCCTATTTGCAATCCAAACTAGACAAATGTCACAGTGGGGCATGCACTTCCTTGTAAGCATGCACAACTTAATCCATTATGTATCCTAATAGAGAATAATAAATACAAAATGCATGTCATATTTTGACACTTTAATCTAATTGTACTATTAACTAAAGGGGTTGAATGATTTCCTGCCCACTCCTTCACCACAGTGTAATTCTAATACTAATATTAACAACAGTTTTGTCACTGGAAGATCTTTCTCAATCAATCCTCCCCACCTATCTCAACTTGGAACCATTTCCAGCTTGCTGTAAAACATAGGTAACTTGGGGCTAACCAAGTTACAAACTTCATTGTTGGTCAGAGAGAACCAAGAGAGCCTAAACCCACTGGTAGCAAATTCTACAGCCGGCCCTACATACACAATGTCAGTTTTTATAGCAATAATTAATAATTTATAACGATCCATTAGTAATCCATCCTTTGACAGTCATCAATCTGCCAACAGATGAGATCAATATAACCAAGAATGGAAGGTTCTACAGACACTCTCAAGAGATTTATTTTCATTCAATTTATAGTCTGAAGAAAAAATGATCCATATCCATATCGCTGTGTCAGAGTTTTGGAAAATTAGCCTAAAATCCAAGTGACAGAGTTCTGCTGGACAAACATGACATTACATGCAGCCATGCTTGAAGAATAAGGCGTTAATGCTCAGCTGGTTAATGCGTTACTTGGAGACAACATGGAACACTTTGACATCCACTGGGAAAGCAGAGTGAGTGTGGACTGGGCCCAATGGGGGAAGAAAACAGCAGCCATAGCTGTGGTTTGGATGAACAGCTGTCCTGAGAGGGCAGTGTTATGTCTATTGTGGCGCAGCTTTTGGGAATCTAGTGTTTGTGCCAAAACTGTTTTGCTGTTGTATTTTTTGCATCTAAAAGTGATTTTTAAAAAGATAAATCAAATAGCATGTAAGATTGTTACATCCCTAAAAAGATGTTATTGATTAGTGTTCACCCTTTGGTGCAGTTGTTTTTTTTAAATCACAAGATCTCTTTGTGAGTAAAACACAAATTTACAATATTTTACAAGCTGACTGAACATAGTGTGTGAAAAAGACAAAGACTACTGAGGAACTGTATTATCTGTGGAGTTTGGTAGGTTTTGAGAACAACTCTTCATGCATTTCTAGGATAACCTTTGAAGCCCATAGATATTTGATCTCGTTCTCAATTCTTCACTTATGGTCCAAATGTTAAATGTCTGATTTTGGGTTGTGTTTATTTAAATATACTTTGTAAAAGCATTGGTTGATAAACAAACAATAAGCTGAAAACACTGCTGTGTGTGTGTGTATCAGGCAGTGTTCTAGGTGTGAGTTTCCATTGGGACTCATCTGTCCAGGTTAATGCTACTGAGATTTAGTTGCCACTGGTTACACCCCTCCCTATCTGCATACATGTGTTGTGGAGCTTCTTTAGCTGAGCTCCGGACCACCCAGGGGACAAAGCTTATTGTCTGTGTTCAGCCTTTGACAAGAAAGAGAGCAGTCAAACCTCTATGTGAATAAAAATAAATTATGATTTTATTTTTTTAAAATGATGTGCTGGAGCAATTAACAATAATAGTCACTGCGAGGCAACAAACTCTTAAAACATTTCAGTTTTCTCTCCTTCCTAATTTAATTTTATTATTTGATACATGATAACAGAGTGTTATCTTGGAAATATTAAAGTTGGCAAATTTAATAAGTTAGCCAAGAGGAAAACTACATGATGGCCAAAAATTGTTAAAAAACATAATGAAAAAAATTGAACTACTACTGCTATTAATTGTACTTTGATTGATAAATTGAAATGAAAAATTAATTTTTAATTTTTATTTATAATTAATAATTTTTAATAATAATGTTTGTCAATACTTCATTTACTGCTACTACTATGTACAATATGTAACAAAAACATGTATAGGAAAAACCGCTAAACCGCTAAACCGGTAAACGCTAAACAAATGTTAGGCTTACATATAGTTTACCAAGTTTAGGACAACGTAGTTAGACTAATCACCCCAACAAAGTGTCAGATAATAGCTGAAATAGTTAAAATACAGCTTAAGGCTTAACAAAAGCAGTCCACAAGAACTCAACAGTTAAACTAAACATACAGTTAAACGTTAAGATAAACACATCTTAACATTAGCTAACGACATAGCTAAAAGACTACATATGTGTTGTGTTGACAATAAAAAAAAATAAAGTTATTTATACTCCAGTCACGGTTAGCAATGTTAACTAACACCTCATGCACAGCAGGGACAAAGACACACAGAGACATCATCAGTTGGAAGAGGCAGGCTAGTAAGTAGCACTATCTGACAGTATTAACCAGAGATCAGAGGAGGAGATTACCGTGGAAAAAGATGCAAATTGGCAACATTAATATCACAGACTATGATCTGATACTGTTCATAAAACGGGTGACATCACACAAGGCTAAGCTCATAATGACCTTGGTTTTAATAGGCAGGTTGGGGTGCAGTAATCTGGTTTAGCATAATCTCCTTCAATCTCTGATAAATGCTTACAGCATGTATCTCTGGAAGAGTGCCCTGACCCCGTTGGTCCGCTTTGAAGCATTAGTGACATCTGCTGTTGTACACAGACAGACAGACACAAACATACACAGACGGCCTATTATTCTTCTTTGCCTTGTTGACATAGCAAGTTTAAATTTACCTCAACATTTAAATATCCCTCAACCTCCCATTTATTTCTATTTTCTCATCTTTCTATCCACGTGGTAGTGTACATTACAAACCATCATATTCTATCAATTACTACCTAGAACTCCAAACACAAATCCTGATGTTGATCCTGATTTTCTGCAGTCATCCTGCAACCATCGCCCTAAATTAAGGTAGCTATGCATAGCTACAGTATTTATGTTGTATATTAGCCGTAAGGTCACATTAGGGTCACCACACCCATGACAAATGTCTTATTCGCACAATAGTTTTACCCTCTGTACGCCTAATAATTTGGAAGAATTCATTAATGCATCCCATGTTTCTACCTCCACAACAGGAGGTGATCATCTATTTCAGGTTACTGACATTTGCATCCGCCTGGCCGGGCATACCATCATGTGGTTAACATTCGTGATTGCATACTGTATACTTGTTTGTTGGGGTTGCATCAATTTTCCTCTGCTTCTTTGCTTCGCATTTTAGCATTGCAGATTAAGTCAACATATTCAATAGAACATGTATTGACAATATTCAGGAGTACTTTGTTTACTAACCTTTAATTATTTTATTTCTATATACTTTAAAATATTTTTATTTTTTTTAAATTTTATTATTTCCTCAGTTTTGCACAATTACTAGAGATCGGCACTCTCCTTAGTGACTTTTACGAGCTTTTTATGACTTTTTTTAATGGCACAACCTTAGTCCTGTCTTTAAAATCCCTTTAGAATCAACCTCACTGTGTAAACTGTACAAACTTAATGATTAAAGATCAGCTGAAAAGAAACAATTTAGTGCTGCTTGCACCCCCCAGTGGCAGAATTAGGTTCCTCAGTCACGTGCTCAAGTTAAAAACAGGTTGAAGAGGTTTCACAGAGGATTCTCTGGGTTTATAGCTGATCCAAAACCATCAGAACGTGGATAGAAAATAATCTGCCAACAACTGCTTATTTGTATAAATAGTTTTTATGTACTGTTGATCAAAAAACCCTACAGTGAGTGTGTGCGTGTGTGTATGTGACCAGATACAGCTACCGTCCATCATCACATAGGTACAACAGAGGTGGCAGGAGAAGGCGGGGAGCTGGACGGAGAGGAGTAGGAGACCAGAGCCATCAGGTTGACGCTGTACACATTGTTCTGATCCCCTCTGACAGTCAGAAGCACACGAGCCTGCACAACCTCATACGGCTGAAACACACACAAAACACATGTACGATATAACCAGTAATTGCAGTAGGTTCTTAAAAATAATTAAAAAAAAGCTAATTTCCCAGGACATTGATGGTGAATGGTGACTAAGCTGTGATTTCTCCTTGTCAGTATTAAAAACACAGAAGACAACGTTTTTGACCTTTTATATTTGGATATTGCATTACTAGAAACTTTTGTGTGGATTAATCCTTGATGTACTTTTTGCTCAGGACAAATATTATATAAATAATTACAGAGTGACGCAAAGACAACAACTGCGCTCTCCCTAGAAAAAACTATGCTTTTCCACTTCGAACAAAGTGTTTCTTTCTCACCTTGTATCCACTTTGAGGACTCCACGTGATGGTAATGGTTACTTCTTTGCCTGGTTCCACATTGCTTTTGAGGGGCTCAACAGTGAAGCCCTGCTGCTGAATGGGCAACACATCATCCCAGTAAAACTCACCACTCTGGAAGATATGTGAGAACCCCCCCCCCCCCGTAAAAGTATAACTATAACTATATACTATTTTTTTAAAGGTAGCATTGCAATAAACATACAGTGATAAAAATATATTTGTAATATATTTATTTTCTGTTACAATGTTTAAATCTCTTAGTTCGGCTACTGTAGGCCTAGGCAGCTGGAGGAAACTCCCATTTTGCAATGAGAATTCAATGTGTGAGTTTGACCTTTAACATTGATTTTCATTCATTTTTGATCATGTCTTTTTTATTTTTTTTATTTAACTGCTTAGAAAGAAATCCAGGTTACCAACTACACATTATTAAATATGTATTAGCAGCATACTTTTGAGTGACTATTTAAAACCTGTTGCCTCTACATGTTATGGTGCTCTCGATGGCAGTACCTTTTTGGACTGTGTAGAGCGGATACAGCCCACCTTCAGCTCCCTCACTGCAGGTGTAATGACACCCTCACTGATGCTGGCCCGCAGAGTCACAAGCACAGGGGTGGTGATGTCATTTTCCTCTGTTACAAAAAAGAGTGGATGTTAACAGTTTACCCATGGAATTCACTGGCACAATTAATTTGCGGCTTTGGATACAAAAGACCCTGTTATGTATTCTTATCAAAAATAAGCTTTGAATTTTATACGTAAGGCACTAAAATATTTCCAGAGGAAACTTTGATTAATAGAACCACACAGCATCAGTCTGTTCATCTGTTAACCGAAAGGTTGGTGGTTCAAGCCCACCCAGGGATGGTCCCTTTCTTAACGTAGCCATTATCTGATTTTGACAAGCGTATGAAAGTGCAGCAGTACCAAAACACCTGTTAATATACTTGGAAAACTGATCTGATTCGTCCTAAACTACACTTAAACAAACATGCATGTGCATCTTGAGCTAAGCATTGATTGATTTTCTAAGTGTGAGGTAGTGAGGCAACAAAAAGAAAACAGTCCAAGGTTGGTCGGTTGTAATGGGGGTCAGGTTGAAATTCTGACAGTAAGTTTAGTGAAAATGGAGGCAGAGGCGAGAATTATTAGAGAAATATTTTAAAAGTTCCTTTTGACTGGGTGCAATCGGTCAGCGTGTTTAGCTGTTAACTGAAAGGTTGGTGGTTCGAGCCCACCCAGGGAAGGACTCATTACAGCAAAGAGTTGATTTTGACTAGGGCTAACTTGAAGTAATTGACTGTACAAGTCTTACTACAAGAATAAAAGACATCTAACCTAAGGTAAAATATTTCAAACTGTGTAGAATATAAACATTTTAAAGTGTTATCAACAGTACTGTATTAAACAACTGAATGACTGTGTTTTCAATGAAATACCAGCTGTGTGGGAAGGAGACAGAACGGTACCTGAGGGTGGAGTTTGATAGTCAGTCAGAGGAGGAAGCAGCGATTCGATGGGCACCGTCAGCATGTCTCCTCCATACAGATACATGTTGTGTGAAGAGGCTGCACCCTTCAAATCTATTATACACAGATTTTTCTGGGAGACAGAAAAAAAAAGATTAAATTAAATAGAGGACAGATAGGACATGTTCAGAATGATGGCCGAAGTAAGGTGGAACAAAGACAGGAAGTAGACATACTAAAGTTTGTGTGGTGACCTGCTGACCTTGTTCATGATCTCTATGGTGAGTTTGTCAGAGTAGTAGACAGATGGGTGGTCCGGCTGGAAAACGATGGTAATGTTCAGGCTCTGTCCTGGACCAATGACGCCCTCTGCTGGCACCACACTGAACACATTCGCCCCACTGTAGTTCTGGGTTCCTGTGTAAAATAACAAAAGAAATAGTTTCAGTATAGAGCTCAATTATTTGCATCACCCTGAAGATACTGGGAGGTAAAAAATATTCAATATTTTCAATGGCCTTCACATGCATTATTAGTAAACCCTGAGCTGTGGGATTAGTGTTAGACCTTGAAGGTAAACAAATTATAAAGTGAAAGTATTAGAAAGTCCACTTGGCAAAAAGCATAACAATAATAAAAGCGATAACCAAACAGGATGAGAGTTTGCACAAATAAGGGCAAAGGTGGCTCAAAGGAAGCCACAACATCCAAAATTCAATGTTACTGCCATGAAAATTATCAAATCAAAATGACCAGTCTCATTTTTGACCTATAGACACAGTTGAACTGGCTGATGTGATCACTACTACCTACCTACAACAGGCTGCAGCTCAGGGTCTGTGTAGTCTCCTAACAAGATGTTCAAATGTTCGATTCCACCTTTAGGTTTGGACCGACACAGACTGGCTAGCAAAGCTCTGAAACCCACTGCCACTGGTGAGCTGTTATGTAACTGCAGACAGAAGTGGACCTCAAAAACACTGGCAGAAACTCAGAAGTAACCAGTCAATATAAAGAGTTACTGACCTCTATGACTCGTAAGGTGCTCTCTTTCTCCAGCACATAGCCAAAGTCCAGCAGTCCTCCGGGGTGGGACGATGTGACATCAGGGATCACACCCTCCCCACGCAACGTTACCTCTAGATTCATTGTAGGGGTTTGTATCTCTAGAACCTCACAGAACTAGAGAAGAAGAGGGACATTCTTTATCATCAGATATGTCCACTAGGATTTTTAGACAAAATGAGCTTCAGACAATTTATGACCAAATGTAACAATGCTTTGTTTGTTTATTTGTACTTCTATGCAAATCTATCTGGTCTTATTTACCTTGCTAACTGTCAAAATATCAAAGCACAAAATTTAAGTTTTTTAAAAATTAACTGGAAAGAGTTCCTTTCTTTACAGAATCACTGTAAAACATTTTGTGTTTGTGGAAGAAGTTCTTAGGTTAAGTCACTTAGGCTACGTTTTTAGGTTTAGGTTTTTAGGCTCACGCCACCACCTACTGTACTACAGTGTGCGGTCTCATAGTATGACCAGTGACTTTTTGAGCTTACTGCTTATGCCTTGATGGGAGATTCATTTTTTATTTCACCCGATGCGAATTATCACACATTTGTATACATTTTAACCGACTCATGTAACATAATTATGACACTAGATTTACAAATATTTTAAACCAACCTTTTTGTCCACCGATGGATAGAAGGCCAGTAGCAGAGTGTGCTGATCCCCAGGTTTTATGATCCTAAGTGCGTTGAGGATGGAAAATGGACCAAATATGTCCAGAACTGATGACTTCAGCTTCAAGAAAGTCAGAGAAAAAGAGCGGGAATGAAATGTGGATAACTGACTAACTAAATAAAGGTGAAGAAATCATTAGTCCTGTAGAAAAGATACCTGAAAAGACTCATCTGAAATGTTCTGAACTGTGAACTCCTTTATCACTTTGTCTCCTGTGAAGCACAGAGAGAAGCACAGACAAGGAGGTCTGTCACAGTCTGTTTACAGTGTGTTCAAAACCATCAAACCGCAGAAATGTTCAGAGCCGCTCACCTATAGACACCTGATGGAAGTCTATGATGGTCAGTTCGTTGTCTGAGACCACCTGGAGACAAGGCCTGACGGCAGGACACTGCAGCTGCAGGTAGAGTGTGTTAAAGGGGCTGAGGAGACATCGGACATAATACGAATATGAAATCAAGATTGTGGGTAATCTCTGACACAGTGGTAAATGTCCCTTTAATTTACAGAGTCTGACAGGAAAACAAAACCTTTATATAAATATAACATTCCTTCCTTTATTGTTTTGTAGCTCACATGCTACTGGCTGGAGAACAGAATTACACCATCACTGACATCAAGATGACCTTCATATGAGGATGAGGTTTTACATAAAAAAGTTGACATTTTGTCAAATTTGTTTTTTATCTTTTTGGCTAAAAGTAAAAAAAAGTTGTATATTCGTATGAGACTAAATATGCGGGTGCAGTGAAGTTACCTCCACGCTGGCTGGGCTTGTCTGTTGTCCTCAGGAGGATCTCCGTCTGATATAAAACACGGTATGGTGTACTCCTTGTATCGCGGAGCGAAGGTGTGGAGCAGAGACGTCTTGGCCTGCTCATACAGCTCCGACCTGAGAACACAAGACCTCACACATTTGAATAAAACAACAAACGCTGCTGTAAGATTTTCATCAAGGTTTCCAGCTCCATCAGGATCCTTCCAGGAAGCTCTGAGACAAGATAAACGTATGGACTGAAAACCAAAAGAAGACGCGGGAATGAAATGATGACGAAACTGCTGGTGAGTAGGAGGAAGACAGAATCAACTAGTCAAAAGCTGTGTGTGTAATTTATATTTCAGTGTTGTTGGACTCCAGGCTTCAGACCAAGTCATTAATTACTTACACAGACAGACTGTCAGGGAGAATTTTGAAGGCATTTTCTGAGCGAATAATTCTCTCCTTTACAGCACCAGCTTTTTTTGATATTTGGCTCCTGAATATTTAAAGAAATCCTACATGGTGTCAGATTGACTAACAGCCAACTTTAAAAGATCATGTAACTCTTACTTTAGTGAATCTTTTTAATGTTGATTTTAAAGACCCGGAGATGCTCTAAAGCCGAGGTCTCTAACCCAGCCTTCTCTCACTGAACGGCTTTATGTCAGACAATATTCTAACAGAGCAGTCGTTAAGGTGCTGTGAAAACACATTACCAAATAAAATGATACGACCAATATTAAAACAAATATAAAGTGAAAACAGTAAAGTGAACTGTTACTTTTAAGTCATGCTGTTTTTGAAACAGAAGATGAGACAGAAGCTGAAGGTTCGTCTCTTGTCTCCTGTGTAGAATAAAATATCTTTCACGCTGTAAATGAATTAAGTACAACTATATGTTGGTTTTTTTTGCTCTGCTGCCCAGTACCATATGACCCAGTACCGACCCAGGGCTCAGTGGTTGGAAAATACTCCTCTAGACTGTCTGAAATTAGGGTTGTAACATTACTAAGGTTCTAATAAAGGGTCTATCTTTGCAAGAAAAGGAAAATCATGGATTCAGAAATGGATTCTGCCCAGTACAGCCAATGAGAGAAAACATTTTGAATATGCTTTCTGTACAAATTACAAAGAAGTTGCTTTGTAGACTCATAGTGCCTTCTGTTGACTGGCCTAGCTGCAAGATCTGTAAAATATTTCCATACCATCAGGAAAATCAGACTCTAACCATGGTCTTTAATGCAAAAAAATGGACCTACAGTAAATTCCACCTGTTAAATTGAATTTAATGTTTGATTCATTTTCTTAAAAAAATCTATATTACATCTATGTTAAGTACAAATTTGAGGAGTAGGAAAAACTCATACCCTTCCACTACGTCGTCAATGGTTGGAGATTCAGAGACCTTATCTGTTCCCTGGTCCCCTGATGTGTCCATCTTTTGGGATTTGGCTTTTTTCTCCTTTTTCTCCTTCACAGGTTCTGGTAGGACTTCCTTTTTAGGCTAAAAAGAGAAGACAGACGTGAATAACTGTTTCTCAGATGAGAAAAAATGTTGCATATTGTGAGTTTGGATGCAAGAATAAAGAATCCATACATCCTGTTCCTGTTCCGCGTTCAGCTGCATCTCCTCCAACTGCTTGAGCAGAGCGGCTTCCTGAAGGAGACGCAGTCCTTCTTCCTTGATCTCTCGATCCAAAAACGTAGGCTTAAACGTCACCTGAATCAGGCATTTCTGGTGAAAGGAGAAAAGTTTTCACGAGTCACATGCATGGAGATTACAAAGGAAGTGGATGTGAATGTTGTCACACAAGTATTGAGAGGAATTAATTCATTTAATTTCCTGTCTTCACATAACGATTTTAATTCAACTACAAAAACATACATTTTCTTCACTCCCACTGGAATACCAGTAGAGGGCACCATTGTACTTTAAAGGCTCCAAGCAGGGACGGTTTGTTTTCTGACCATGTACTGCTTTTATACAGAATATTCTTCCACAGACCACAGACAGCATATGATGTAATCAAGTCTCACGCTGGATCTGTCCACACAGTCACATCACACTGAACCAGCAGACGTTTAACTACATTTAGATTTGGTCTAAGTTTACAGTTAACGTTAGGAGAATAGCTTTTTTATTTTTAAATAAATGCACATGAAAATTAGACTCACACAGGATTACTTAGACCGTATGTTGTAAAACAGAAAGAAGGTTGACTTAATCTTAGATTTAAAGAAAGTCTGGTTGATCTCCTGCTCAGTTAAAAGCCAATTTCCAAGGCTGTAAAGGTTTTACATCATCCTTTAGATCCAATTTGGCTTTATTATTTTATAATATCATAAGTAGAAAAGTGACAATTCATCGAGTATAAATCTAAAGAAATGTATATAAACACGTTTTCATGGTGGATCACAAAGACAAGAATTAGACAGTGAATCTGACAAGCACGGCTTCGGAGACACGTTCAAGATCAGGACAGTGGTCTATTCATAATTAGAGCTTACTCAAATGATAAATAAAAGAAACAAAATGTCCACCATCGTTACAGTTTCTCCTAATGATGTAGAGGCATTTGCGTACGTTGAGACAAGTAATCAGATTTTCATCTGTGAAACTGGAGGAGCAGCTCTTTAACATAGACAGTAATTATTCTTCCACTCACCTCGCCGGGGAGCAGGCGTCCTGTGGCAGGTGTGAGGGTGATGTCTGAATTGTTGGGCAGGAGGAAGGAGAAGAGTCTGGGAGGACTTTGGCCATCCTTGACCCCTGCTGCGTCTGGAGGTTTTGGCCTAAAACGGCTGCTCTGGTGGTTTGTCAGTATAATGACAGCAGTGGAGTGATCTCCTATTGCTGTGGCTCCAAAGTTCACCAGAGTGTGTGAGAGCTCCAAGGGAGGACGGACACCCACTCCACGGCAGGACAGCAGGAAATCTCTAATGTCAAAGCAAAGAAGGTGAAGCGGTGAACAAGATTTTCTCAGAATTGGAGAAAAACACTGGAGTAAATTCACATGAAAAATACTGTATTTTCTATACCATATGTCTTCACTGCAGAATTATTCTGTCAAATATCAATAAAAAATAAACCGGTCTATGAGTTGCATTTATTTTTTAAATATTTCACTAGAGAGTGAGTTTATTCTGAGAATCATGGTCTGCAAAATACTATAAGTAAAGGACAAAAAATAAACCTGTTCATTCCAGATTTGCAGTGGAGGGAGAACTTGTAGTCTATAGCTTTGACGGCGCTCAGCATCAGACTAATCTCCAACGTTTCTTGTGGGAGTAAAGTTCCAAAACCATCATTGGGTTGGATCTCAACATACTGCAGTCCATGGAAAAGAAGAAAAAAATGGCTTAAGACACAAATCCTGCAGCCCATCAACACCACTGTTCATGGTTCAACACAGCACCACAGCTGCTACACAACATCCAGAGGTTAGAACTCAACAGACTTTGGAGATTTAAAGATCCTCATTATTCCACTAGATTTCACTCGCATAAATCATAAAATAGTACAATGTTTTTAACCTGTTGAGAAACTTAATACTAATAACCTGTAACCTAATTATTCAGCTATTATCTCTACTGTATGTGACTATACCTATATCTCGGAAGAAAAAAAACCCCATCCTCCATCAAAACTGACTGCAATGTCAGAGGAGTTGCCATGGTGAGACCCACACTTTAGGAACTTAAACACGTTAAACAAGTTGAAAACCCAGTTCCTCTGTGAAGTACCTTTGGAACATTCAAGAAGCCAAAATCCTGAGGCAGCAGGGACAGGTTGGTCAGACGAACTGTGTTCTTGATTGACTGATAAATGGAACAGTAGCCAAAATCCACCTCGGCACGATCGAACTTAAGATCGGAGCAGGTCACTACTGCATGAACTGCAAACGGGATGGGCTGCACCTGAAAATCAGATGTTACATTTTTACACCCAACCCAAGAAATGTTGACGAATCTGAAAAACACTGAGGACATTTTGTTGAAAACACATGCTCCTGTTCCTGTAACTACTCAGAAAGTCTTTTTTCAAATTCTAATTTATAAATGTGCATACATTTTACATATACAGCATCTTTTTTTACTTTTTACATTTGATGTTGTGTATAAAAAAAATAAAGATTAAAGATCTACATTGTCTTATGTAGTGAGCAGCACTTTTTATAACCTCCTAAAATGACATGATTTTTAATCCAGCTCCCAGGTCCAGCTCAGCAGTTGACCTGGCGTCTGCAAAAACACTTTCCTGCATGTTGGAGGAATTTACTTACTGCATATATCACTGTGTGTGAGTAAATATGTATAAATGTGTGTGTGTGTGTGTGTGTGTGTGTGTGGGATTGGTTTAAAGCCAGAGGCTCAGAGCCTGGGGTGGGGGCAACAGCTTTGGTGCTCTACAGGAGCATCCTGGCCAATTCTCTTTGGCTCTGCTTCAGACTCACACCCCCACCACCACCCACAATCCTCTGCTCCTGTCCTAGTCCACATACAGACAGAGGGAGAGAGAGTAAAGAGCGAGAGACACTCAGAGACAGAAGGGCAGAGAGGGAAAAAAAATAAATAAATCGAGGTTGGACCGAGAAGATAAGGGGGAGGAAGGTGACAATATGGCCGGAATCTGGAGCATACTTCAGATTTTGATTTACTTTGAGACACATGGAGAGAAAACACTGGCACCAGTGCAGCATTAGTTTCTGAGCAGCTGCTGTGTATTTTAATAATAGCTGCTGCTGACAAACTGAAGGAATTTGGTCCTCAGCATTTTATGTTTCACATCCAGAGACCCAGACTTTATCTTGTGATATTTTAAAGTAAGACTTGTTAAGCATGGTTCCCAAACTATGGGTCAAGACCCACAGATACGTCATCAGGGATTAAAATTGAATTCCTTGTTTTAAATGTTGTCACATTTATTTAACTGCATGATTATCAAATGTTTTGTTTAATAATCTAACTGCATGATTATCAAATGTTTTGTTGTTATAATAATCATATTAAATGTCTAAGTTCTTGCAAAATTATCACAAATTTGAATTCATGTTTGCAATTCAGTCCCATAGCGGGCGATATTGCTTGGAACAATGGATTAACTGATCAAAGTTATCCATCAAAAATGTTTCATGTTAGTATATATTCCGTTAAAAACCCAGACTGTACCTCCGAGCCTTTGAGCTCCTAGAGACATTACTCTACTGTATGAGGAAAAAAAAGCAGAGTGACCTTTATGCTTGGCTTATTGGTGCCCGTGGAGAAATAGGGGGCCTTGAAGGTGGAAGATAATTTTAGCTTGTTACAAAGTGAAATGGTTACAACCATCTGTGACTCTGCTTCAGGTAGACACAAAGTAGGACATGACACCAACCTGGCCGGATACATGCAACAAGGCTGGAACCTGCAGGACTCCTGTCTCACTGTCAAAATATGCCCCGGCGTCTTTGGCTAAGGTGTGTCTGTAAGATTTTAAAAAAGGAGCCGTCAGTAGAGCTTCTGGTTAGAAAAAAGTAGAGACACAGGAATTTTACATTTAAGTTGGTACAAACACAGAGCATGCCATTACACCTGTCGGCCTCTGGAGGTGAAATTAAGTTAATTTGAATGGTTTGCAGGAGCAATACTTTTGTTTCACAATAATATAATCCTGTATATGTTAAGATAATTTATTTCCTGTTTTTTTTTAATCTATTTTAACAGTAAGCTTTCTATTTCTCTACAATTTCCCCCTTAAGGATCTCTAAAAGTATTTCCTTTTGGACAATTGTCCAATCACAGTCAGTCTCATAATGACATTTCACTGTCCTTTTATTCTTTCACAATTTATGAACACATGACTATCTGGAGAATATTAGCCTAAAAATCCAGTGAAATGTAATCACAAGTCTTAAATACAAACAAATACAAATATTGCAACATGATACATTAAAGACGAACTTAGAAAAGCAGAAAAATCTAACTGATGATTGTGTTCAGTGTTACACAAAAGTTTTATATTTATAAATATGTATATTATTCTTCTATGATTCTATGGTTTATTCATTTTTAGGATTTGCCTGCCCACTGCACCTTTAACGTAACTAACAAAAGAAATAGCTGACACCAAAAGGGGGCGCTACACGTTGCTAATTTTGAGTGTTTTGGATTAAAGCACTTAAAGCTACAAGCCTTTGTCAAGCTTTTGAAAGACAAGATAAAGAGTCGGAGCCCGAAGATACATTTCTTTACTTTAACCCACGACTGTAGGATCAACTCGCCAGGGAAGGCAGCAGAGAGAGAGCGAGAGGGAGAGCGAGAAGTAGAGGGAGAGTGATGTGGAGCGCGCCTCCACACTCGTGTAGGTTGTAGCCATGGAGATGGGAGACGTAAGTATGATTCAAAGAGGAGCAGTAGTCATGCACAGGCTTATGTAAAAAAAACCAAAACAAACTCCGCAGCAGCTCAGCATCCTAACATGTGAGGAGCTGTTCTCCTGATGACACTGCAAAGACAACATGAGTTGAAAGTACATGTTTGTACGATCCAATCATAAAAGTGACGGTCAAGTGTAAAAACCTCTCTGCATTTTCCCAGCATCCTCCACACTTTTTCCTACTCCTCCCTCCGTTTCCTTCCTCTGTCTTAAACTTATCATCTGTCTTCATGTAGTTTGAAGGCTTTAGAGCTAAGACCATGAATGACAGCGGCTTAAAGCTCTCCAGACGTCACCGGTATTTTCTTCTTCCCTTCTGAAGCGCTCGTCTTTAACTAGTCTTCACCTTCAGGTTCATGGACAGGTTCAGGTCTGCACTTTCTTATTTCTGCACACCAAGTTATAAATATGCTGCAGAACTACAGCGCCCCCAGTGACTCAGAGCCAAATAGGTCACTTCCTTGTACGTCAAAAATAATCTTTGCGTTTATGACAAGGTATGGAAAAAAAGAGTGTTCATTACCAGATGATGGGTGTATTTAAAGAAGCACTCTTCTACCACTAATAGCATCTCTGCTGGAGAGTCACTCTTGAATTAGCTTGGCAGGGCAGAGTGGAAAAGCCTGATGGGACGTCGACAGGCCATATGCTCTGGAGAGTTCTATGGATGGATGGGGTTTGAGATGTGTCAGTGTCCTGAACAGACTGACTGGTGTGCTCCTCCTCTCTGCTGCCAAAGTCTTTTTTGGGACTTCTCGCCATGGGTGTAGTCAGACTCTACTCACTGAGAGGACAAGGACTTCCAGAAGGATCGCAGGGCTTTTCAATGACAGATACACCGTACATACAGTAGTCAATGACAGATACAGACACACATGATAACCCAATGGTTGAAAACAAACAGAAAAGCTTTTTTTTGAAGAACTGAAGCCTGGGAAATATTTCAAACTTTGACGTATGTACTTGTCTTAACTTGGATATTTTTGTTCCGTTTTCTCTGTATGCTAAGAGTCAGATCGCAGTACACATACACACACACACACACACACAAACACACACACACCTTATTTATCTTTCTGCTCCAGCAATATAGAAACATTGTCCTATTAAGATATATGTTTATTTATCACAGTTAATTGTTGTTAATCATGATTACCTGTCGTGATCCTTCCTCTATGGTGGATGCTCTTTTTATATCTACTATAACATTATGTATTTTGAAACCAAATCCCAGCTACTTCACTGTTAGCTGGTTCAATCATAATGAGTGGTCACAGAACCTCCAAACCACTCATAATTATCATGAACTTTTGACAGTGCTGGCAGAACCGTTCACTTTAATCTGTTGTAAATAATCCCTGTAATCTCCCCTTGAGTCATCAGGAAATGCCGGCTCAGGAACAGCAGCTACAGAGATTACATCTAAAAACCGCTCATTTAAGTAATAAGAAAAAATGATTATACCCTGTCCATCTATTAAAAAATGGTTGAACTAAAAAGCTCTTCTGCCATAACGTTAAATTTATGGCAGGTCAGTGAATTTCCTAAACCCCTGGTCCAAATGAACATAAAACACCTTCTTCATGACAATGATTCAATGAGTCTGACGTCATTCACATAGATAAATCAAATCCTAAATATCACACCTTTACCAGAACACAATGTCAGGAAAAGAAAACTTCATTATTATTCGTCACAGACCTGTGATCTATTCACCTTGATACAGTAAAACAGAGATGTGTGAAAAGCCCATGGACGAATGCCGCAGATACATGAGGGAAATGTTGGCTGGATGGTGACAAATAACAGAGGAGGAAGTGAGGGAAGAAGAGAAGAGAGATGGTGAAGGATGTGGGCAGGTTGAGCAGGAACCAAGACGGTTCTCCTGCTCTCCCAAAGTCAGGGGAGAGAAGAGAAGAAAGAAGCATCCACCTGTGTAACCAATGAAAGCTCTGAGTCATACTGAACCACTGAACAGTGTGTCTGTGTGTGTGTGTGTGTGAGAGTGAAGGCATTGCTACTAATGAGGACGTGGCCATTCAATCACACTCTCTGACTGGAGACCCCTGACAATGCCATCTTAAATGACAGCATAACCAGGAAAAAACCTTTCACAAAAACAACAGATTGGAAGTTATGATCCACTCATGACAGAAACGACATGGAAACAAGAGTCTCTTCTTGACATGTGCATGGTTTGTGTATGATTTTTATAATATGTTAATTTTTATAATAATACCTGTTAGTATTATCTCAAATATTTATCCTTAGCTCATTTGAGTTTAAGACCCCTGCTCTACAGTCTGACAAAGCCCTTTTCCCAACATGCTTTTTTGCAGGCATATTTTTAAAATTAAATGAATTGGTTCTTTCTTGAAAATCCAAAGTATGTTTGCTGTAAAAAAACAAACAAAAGTACTGCAGCATTGTTTTTTTCTCTGTTAAACCAAGTGAATTGCCTTCAGTTTTAATTACATTAATAAGAAGTGTACCAACTTTGTAGAAATGGTGGTTGTAATTAACTGCTAGCTCACGCCTCTGACTAAATGCAGGGAACACTTCGCTTGTACAAAAATATAATTACCGCTGCAGTTGAAGAGAAACAGTTCCTGTCTTTGTCATTGCTCCGTGTTGTAAATGAGAACAGAGAACTGGGTCTGGAGTTTGAGGTTATGTAAGCAGAAACTGGGCCGGTGTATAAGCAGCAGTGGATGGTGGATGCATCGAAGGGATGAGGAGTTTGACAGGGAGCGCGGGAGAGAGAAAATAGAGAGGGAGAGGCAGGAGAGCAGTGTGGAGAATGAGAAATGCAGAGGAAGCGAGGAGAAGACGCAGGGACAGACATTTGTGATAAACCAAAAAAATAATGATACAAAAGAAAATTGTAGAGGAAGCTGAGTGTAGCTGCAGCTGTGTTAGTGCACGTGAAGGCTGCATCATCACAGCAGCAGGACGACTAATGCTCTGGACTAATCCTCGCCGCATTAAAACTTTTGACATTTCACTCGGGCAGATTACTGACGTTTCCCCTTGCCCTGACCCTTCCCTGAACAATGACCAGTTTTTCTCCCGCTCAATTTTACAATGCACGTTTGTCTGTCTTCATCGGTATTTACTAAGCTAATGATGTACAGTGCTGCTGGACTTGGAGTGGGTGGTCAGAGGAGAACAGGCGCCCACGCAGTGTTTTTACATACAGTACGCCTCTCACTTCTGCCCTGAAGGTCTCTGATCATCTCTGCTGGTAATCAGATCAAGGTTCAACTGCAGTATCTCCTTGCAGAAAGAATTAATATTCTGTCCTTCAAAGTTATTAGAAACCATTATCACAAGCCTCACAGAGAGACAGGGCAGCTATCGTACTGTGCAGTAACTGCGTTGTTCTGGTTGTCATGCGTTTCTCAGTGAGACTCCAGAGGTGTTTTTGTCAAAAGGAGAACACTCCATATTCTTGTATGGCAGGAGTACGCAGCTGTTCTGCTGCAGAGTATGGTTTTATTCTTAAATACCCCAAAGAACACAATCTACAATTTAAACATCACATTTTCCAGCCGGCATTTTTTGGGATTTGTTTGTTATCGTGCTCATTAATTCCCAGCTGATAGGCAAAAACACATAGTGCATGTTCAATTCACAATTTGCACACTTGCATTATGGTAAACAAACTAACCGACACAATCTGTTAAACTAGACCCCTGGGTGTTTTTACTTCCTAAAACAATCACATTTTCGGGCAAGAGATGAGAAGAAAAAGAAAGGCACAAACACTGCTGAGAATTTCGAGATAGAATTTACCGTCTAACACAATCCTGAAAAGCCAGTACCAAAAACAAAAAGACTGATTTTGTAGGTGTATATATCAGTTTAAACTGAGTAAAAAAGTCTCTTTGAGACTCTTGGAAGAAACAAGACTTTTGCTATGATATTTGTATAGATTGTTTCAAATGGAATTGATTTTCAGTAGTCAAGAGTATATGGCTACCCGTGTGCTCTGAACAGAGAATCCACAGTATGTTAGTGCTGTGTCTCCACTAGGACAGACAGAGACACAACTGGATTATTAAGTCAATACATATCGGTCTCCTTTGAGGTGACACCGTTTTCACTTTAATAAAAGGGCAAAATGATCTAACAAGCTAACAGTCTCCAACAGGATTATAAATGCTGCAGTGATTCCATTATCACTGAATCCTCTGTGTGTCCTTCCTTACCTGGGCTGGAACTTGAGCTGAGCATTCAAGGTCGATTGAGCCTGGATGAAGCCGTTCTTTGGGAAGATCTCCATGTGTTTCCTCATTTCCTGGCACACCTCAAAAGTCACCTTCAGTGTAACGGTGGCACTGATGTACAGAGGATACAGTACAGGTTTCATTAGTGTGATATCAACACACCCGATGCATATATGAAGGTCAAAGGTCATTTAAACAGATATACTAAACCCTGCATTCTACAGATAAGCATGTACGATGAAGCGAGGGTCAGCGTTTTTTTGATGCTGGGTCACTTACCTGCTCCAAAAAGTTCTGCTTCTACAGAACATGTATAACAGTTGGGTTGAAAATTGGTACTGATGAATACAGACACATCCGTGGGCCAGATTATTTGCAATTTGGTTAGGATATTGTTACCCATGGTCTCTGGATATTATTTATTGGCCACTAACTTCCAAAATTCATTGCTGTAGCAATAAAAACTATTGAAATGATTACATAGCTTTGTTCACTAGTAAACTATTGAAATGATTACATAGCTTTGGTGGCCCATCACTAGTTCATTCAAATTATAATTTGGCAGATATGACAAGTATGGCTACCAAATGTGGGCGGGATACTGAAGACCAGGTGTTGACCACTAAAGAAATAGCGCAAAGAAAAAAAAAGTAAAAGTGATTTGGTGAAATAATGTGTTGTTTGTGGATCATTAATCCAAGTGTCAGAAATTCCAGAATTGGAACAATGCTGGTTTAAAGTGTTCAGTCCAGTATAACTGCATGAAATACTTGCACAATCTGCCTGTAATACAAGACACTTTCTTTATGTATCATCACGTATCATTACAGTTGTTGACAGTTGCCAACACCAAGAGGTTGTTGGGAGTGTTGACAGACATGTCAGAGAACAGGACCAACCCCTGGGGAAGGACAAAGGAAAGACTCACACCCACAGTCTGTGTGTCACGTTGGTAGAATCCAGGTGACCTGTTTTCAAGGACCTCCTACAGATGGTTGGTGCCTTTGGCGACATGCCTCAGTTAGCTAAGGTTTGTGATATAAATGGCTCTTCACCTTGGAAATCCTCCTACAGTACACATTCAATACACACACACACACACACACACCTACACAGAAAAACAACAGCACAAACGTACTGGACAGGAAGGATGCTCACTGCTCCGCGTCTATCCTCAGTGACATAAAGTGTTTATATTCGACTGTGTCTAAACGAAGGAACACTTCACTTTGGATTCCCCTCTTTGAAATTGAATGACCCACTTTAAGCGAGGTCAAACAGATGGTTGTTTCCCCGAGGCAAGGACTCTCAGGGACACTTGAGGGATATTAGGAGCTATCTTTATTCTAACAAACTCATAACCTTCACATCTTTCTTGAGGGAATATTCATGGATAGATAACCATTTAGGGTAATTAGGAAATTCAATTAACTGGGGGATTTAACTGATCTTTAAAAGTCACAGTCATTCGGATGATGTTATGCCAAGGAAATGCAAACAAGTGCCACAAATAATCTTATATTTACAGATTGAGAAATTCCAGATTTTTATTAACTTAATAATTTCAATTTCTATACCAGGCATGTGCAAACTATGGCCCAGGGGCTGGATGTGGCCCGTTTGGTTTTTAATTAGGCCTGCCACACTTGTCCAAATTATGTTATTAATTTCTATTATCAATATACTTCTGCCTTTTCCCTGCAATGCCCGCATTTCATGTCATATGTTTTACTGTAGTTCATACAAATGCTCCATCGATCTACTCCTGACCCAGCCCCCTGTCAAATGTTAGGACCCATTGTGGCCCGCGAGTCAAAAGGTTTGACCAAAAAACATATGGTAAATAACAAATGAACCAGCTGTCTAGATAGAAAAAAATTAGACAAAATGTCTTTTTGGCCCACAAAGTGTGTGTACATTAAACTAAACCTATTCTAAAGAAGCTTTTAGATGCACAGAAAAACATCTGGCACAGGATCTGAGAAACGCATCAGAAATGTCTTTATTTTATGCACTGATGATTTTTTGAAACTTAGCTAGATGGTTTAAAGAGAAAGGCTGCAGAAAAGAATGTTGCTAGGAAGAAGCAGAAAGTATGAAGAATTATGGGACAAATCTAACATAGAGATGTAACAGTAGGGTCAGAGAGACAAATCGATCAGTGTCAGTTTCAGTTCAGCATGATGGAGGCTCTTTAATGGCTCAGGATGTATTGTAGCCAATGACATCAGGGATCAGGTGAAAAATTCTGCAACCATAAATGTTAAAAATTAGAAATAGTGTACCGCTACTGTAAGTAGCATCTAGAAAATAACTTTTAATAACATCAATCGGCAGTGATCAGAGGCAAACTATAACTTCAGAAACAACAACAACTGCACTGAAAACAACTAAAGTCAGGACACAGCAGGTTCCATTAAATGAACAGAAAAATACACCTAAACTTTAAGTCTTATTGTGCTCCTCATTTGACCTAAGGAAATACTCGGAGGAAAATTTAAAAAAGAAAACAAACACTAAGCTTCTGTTCTCAAAGTTTAATGGAGGTCATACGACACCTACACCAGGATTTCTGCAATCTTTCTGCAGTGCAAACTCATAATTATATAATGCAGTTTTTACATTCAGTTGCACTGAAACAGTTCGACTTCTCCGTGTAAAACATACTAATACAGGAACGGCACACAGCTGATACTGTATGGTTTCCACTGTATTCTAATCATGTAGAGGACATGTGTGTGTGTGTGACAGTCAAAGTGCCATTTCTTTAGCCCACTTGCACCCACATCGCTCACTCTTCTTTCTGCCACTTGCTGACAGCACACACTATATATTTGAGTCAATTATTTCCAATAAAATAGCTCCCTGGAACCTGAGCGTGACATGGTTTTCCATCCTGGGCTGGTTGGAGGCAGTGTACTGAAACAGACATTTATCTGCCTGGGAACCACAGCAGCATGTCATAGCCTTTTCCTCTTCCCATGTTTCCTCTCTTGTAACTCTGTCGACTGCCAAAGGCAAAAACGCCCAGAGATAATTTTGAAAAGAAATAAATAAAGTAAAAACTCTGAATATTATTTTTCAAACCGCAGAGGATGGATTTAAGTAAACAGCTTCTTCTGAACTCAGGAAACTGGTGAAATACAGAATGGCAGAGTAAACAGAAAAAAATATAAAACATTTTAGAAGGATTTAGAAGCAGCATATTTGGGTCATGTTGCAGAAATATTGCAAATGTCCACACGTGCAGCTGAAACACTGAGTGACTGGGTTGTTAGTGTCCACAGCTACAGCAGTGCCCAGGTGGCTGTACCGGTTTACTCCACATGTACGCAAAAGTCTGCTGGGATTCCATGGCTTCACCGCGAGGCAGCCAGGCAACCGCCCACACAATGCAGCACTGTCAGCTCCCGTACAAATAAAACTGTTAAAATAACCAGCTGGGAGAACAGGGATTTCTTTTCTTCCCCTCATCATATCTGTTTCTATTTTTCTAGCCAAAGAAACACATGACACAGACTGGACTCAGACAAGGTGCAGTGGGAATATGAGAAATGTGGTAAACAGAAACTGAGAACAGAAGCAGCCCTGCTTTGTTTGTTTGTTTGTGGCCTGAATTTGGGCAGGAAACCTTAACCCACCAGCAGGTGCTGATGGAGAAGGTTTAAATATTTGAAGGAAAACAAACACTGGCTTCCAAAAAGAAAAGCTCTGCCAAATTAGATCATTAGATTTCAATCCATGGCTCAGGGGGAAAAAAATCAAACACTGCAGATTTCCATGCCACGGTTTGTAGGAGTGACATTTAAATCAGTGGCATGCTGACAGAAAAGACATATTCAATTATGAATTCTCAATTATGAATCAATCAATTATGAAAAGTGACAACCCAAAGAGGACCAGTGAGGTTTCTGCTTGTCCATTCAACAGAAAAAAAGACAAACACTTTTTAATTGTTTGCCCAAATGGCCTGCCAACTTCCTTGTCTTCAAATTACTATGTTGGAGGCAGAGTGACATGTTGCTTGGAAAAGTTTTTTTTTTTCTTAAAGGAAAGTATGCAACAGTTCTCTGGTTACTGCTCACAAACATATAACCCAAAATATGTCCAACAGCTTTGATTTGAGTTTTAACATCACATATTTCCAAACACTGTTACGTTAAATTCTCTGGGTTTTAAAGCATCAGAAAAAAACAATTTTGATGCAATTGCCTACATCACATTTTTTTACCCAAACTCAAATGAAAACCTGAAATGCCTTGATGGAGCTGCAAGGCAGCAGATTGAAATGCAAATTTGTGTCAGACGTTTTTCTACTGTGTGTTTTCTTGTGCTATGCACTAATCAAACATATGTACAAATACACTACCAAGGGCTCCTTTTATATATTTTTCAATATCAGTTTTTATCTACTGACAACCGACTGTGTAACTGTGTAAAAAGATTACTAGAGGTAGAGTGACGTGTTATGGTGGAGTTTATCTTTAAAAAAACAAAACAAAAACATATGCAACAATTTTTGCCATTTACAAATACACTCCTTGCTACCCCTGCAGGGGGTGCTGTAAATGTAGTAGTAGTGTATAGGTACAGTATATTTTGCACACGACATTAGATTTTAATTTTTTAGATTTATTTGTAATTGTTATACAGCACACCATGAAATGTGTGCTCTGCATTTCACTCATTACCATAATGAGCAGGGAGCAGTGTATGGGGACGGTGCCATGCTTGGGGGCTGGTGGATTCAAACTTACAATCTTCAAGGCACAAGTCTGCTTTCTTAACACCAGGCCCCCACCACAAAATAAAGGCACTGCTGGGATTCGAACCCAGGATCTCCTGTTTACTAGACAGGCGCTTTAACCAACTAAGCCACAGCGCCTCATGACCACTGTCAACACAATTCTACAATTTCTGAAAATTCACACCTACATTTTTTTTGCCTCAGAAATGCTACATTTGCAATCCATAACATTTCTATGAGAGATTTAGTGTTCAAAGATAAACTAATCTAGCTAGCATACCTCCCTTCGTAAGGTGGTAACTGCAGCTGTGACTCAAATTTTCATTACTGCCATCTACTGGTAAATGCAAACTGCTAGAGATGGGTCATAACAGGTTGTCTCTCCTGCTACATACTAACAGTAAGGTTATAACATTTGTAAAAAAAGTTGTCACATAACCCCCCCCCACCCACACATGTTTGCCCCTCTCCCCTTCATATATTAAAAAAATATATCCTGGCAAGGTGGTAAAGCACACGCCTCCAACCCCTGTCAACCTCCAGTGGACTCCTAACCTGCTGGTGCATGATAAATGTATCCCACCCATAATCGTAAAGGATTTACTTTGGCTGTGTGATATTGTGTAAGACAAAGAGGATTGTGGGGCATATCAGCTTACTGCTTGGTCCTCTCACATCATCCTTTGTTTGAAAATATATTATCAGCTAATACATCTCTATTTTATTATATCTGCACATTTGTTGAACAGCTCAGTCCTTCACATGGTTCTGAGGCTCGGCAAGTCCAGCAGGTTTGTTCAGGCTGAAAACTAAGCTGCCCATGTCAATTTTGAGGGATTTACTGTGAAAATGCCTACATAGCAGAGACTCTTGAGTGTTAGGCAGTTTTAGTATTTCATTCAGCAGATAAGCCGTCAGGCTACGTCAGCAATCCCTGCTTTTCAAAGTCTATTCCCAGGCAGATAAAGCCCACAATTTCCTCTGTGTGCACCGTGTTCATGGCTTGTCCTACAGTTACAGTATTTTGACTGATTGCTTGTAAATAAAGGAATGTTTGAAATATGTAAATTTGTGTCCATTATTGTTTATAAAAAACTTATTAATGGTCGCTAAGAACATGCAAGAGGACAATACGGTTGGAGTTATTAGATTGTGCCACAAACCATGCTCAAAATATCATCACCAGTGCAATGCAATTTGATTTACCTCATTATGTTACTCAGTATATTGTAAAAATAATGTATGAAACATGGTATCCATACAGATTTTCTCTACACACACATTGCTTTGCAGAAGTTATTCCTGATAAGGAATTCAACTCATCATAGAATGTGACTGATAAGCCTTTAGTCCTCAATTTATCCAAATAAATTTGCTTTTAAAATGGGGACACAAATTATTTCCTGACCCAGTGCACATTCTGTGACATAAGCAGTTCAGTGAGACAGCTCAGTGGAAACCTACCTGCTCTGGATAGTGACAGTGTCCTGGTAAAGGCAGTCGAACATACAGATCTTCAGATCAATGTTGGGCTGGACCAGCGACACAGGGATGCTGACTGCAACACCATGGGCATGCATGAAAATCTGTTTAAACCAACACAATTATATTTAATCGATTATTTGACATTTTGACAACAACCAAATGCACAGGCCTGTTAATCATTTTCAATGAATCTCTGTGTAGGTGAAAACAAAACATCTTACAGTCTTAGCCATTGGGTTGGTGAAATTGATGTTGAAGTCCAGTTTCGCCTCTCCTGGAACAGTTGGAGTGAAAATGACCTCAAATGTGGTGCTTTCGAATGGTGCAATGTCCCCTTCTCTAATCTAAAGATGTTAACACACAGAGCATACAAATGTTTATACAGAGTGGTTAATGTCATCAAAACAAACGTTACCTGTGTGACTTCATGAAAAAATGGCTAAATGAATTGGCAACCAAAGGTTTGTTTTTTTAAATATTAAGTATGTAAGTAACATATTGAATATACAGCTAAGAAAACAATGTAAAAGTATCTTTTCAAATAGTGTATTCAATATGAATGGAGTGAAAGGCAGAGTTAGCTTGTTTTTTTTTTCTTCCAATTTCTCTCATCACCAATGGAAAAGCATTGTTGATAAGAGAAATTGTAAAAAAACAAACAACAAAAACCCAGAAGACCCAGTCAGCCATGCAGGCACAGATTCACAGCAGTGGTGCCATGATAGCTTGATGGATCTTCTACCATTTCAGACACCAGACTTCTATCATGAAATGTGGAAACATCAGTCAAAATGGCAACCACCAGGCCATGCCTAGGCAGACACATGCAATACACACACCCATAACAAGTGCAGAGGGAGCGGTGATGCACCATTAGCCCCCCACCGGAGCGACGTAATGAACCCTGAAAAACTCCAGAAACTCAGAACATCAGAGCAGAGACAGAGAGGCAGAGTCTTCCACAGATAGAGGTAATTGCCTCATCAGAGGCAGAGCTGGTGTTTCTGCCTGTCCAGTTTCAGGGCCAGTGAAATTCACTGATTAAAAGTTCTAGGTTCAGACTTGCCAGCTGGAAGGATATTTATTATGAGGAGACCAATATTTATCCCCTGGTTTAATGGCTTCCTTCCACAGCCCACAGTTATGAAAGTCAACTTACGATGAGCGTGTGAGCGAGTAAAGATAATGAATGAACGAATGAAAAGAAGAGGCTGGAGATGCTGGCTGTGAGCCATTAATCAGGCTTCCTGTAAATATCCTAACTTGATATCCTGATGTAGAATTATTCTTAAATGACAAACGTACCACCTCGTCTACTACAGTCTATACGTCAGTAAACCAGAGGCAAAACAAAGTGACGAGCCCTAACAGTAGCATCAGAATGTGAGTGCTTTGGAGTTAGCCTGTGAATAATACTAATGACTCAGTGTATTTGGCACGCAAACCAAAATACTACAGTTAATGATGGGAATGCAGTACGGCACTGTTAGACCCATAGATGGTACATAGGAAATGTACCATCTATGCTACATAGATGGTACATTTATTGCAAATAATGGTTGACAATAATGGTTACAAAGTGAAGCTATATAACTATAACCACTATACTATTATACTCTTAGCTTTATTCAGCTCTTAGCTGAATGGATCCCTAACACCTTACAAAACACAATCATCATCTTTTATAGGAGTTGATATTTGAGGTTGAAATATCATCATTGACATTCATACACTTTCTCCAGGATGAGAATGCTTACTGATGGTACTGTAAAAAAGCCAGATTTCTCCTAGGTTTTTAAGTCATATGCAAACAAACCAAGCACAGACGAACCTTTCCAGGATTCCGGTAGAATAATGCCACATTTTTTAAATATAACAGTATGTCTCGTCTGTGATTTTACCTCTCCCAGATTGATGTCATAGATTTCTGGGGCACTTTCTTCTACTTCTGCTTCCATTTCAGTGGAGACACCAGTGTCAGGAATCTCTTCTGGATTTTGTGGATGTGATTCCTCTGATGCTGCGACATACCAGTGAATTCACCAGAGAAACATACAGCAGGTTATTGTTAATGAAGATTGATTGCAGCATTGTGTAAAACAAACTAACTAAAGCAGTGAGATGAAACCATTTCTGTATAGAGCAAAAAATCAACCCAATTTTCCAACTGGTGATAACCGGTAATATGAGAGACAGTGGGGCAGACGGGAGCATAACAATAAAAATGTTGACAGACATGGACAGCAGGTCAACTTTTATTCTCATCATACTTGCAAATAATAAAACCAGGCTATAAAAGTTTGGCCAACAAAACAACTCCGTAACAATGGAGGATGAAAAATAGCTGCGAGTACTTGAAGTCAGTGTTTTTTCTGGCGGAGCAGAAACTAAAGAGTGATCAGCTTATCACAACATCAGTGGAGGAAAGTGCTGAAGGCAGCGATGAGAACTTCAGATCTGAGCAACATGAAAAAGAAGACTCAGTCTCCAACTGTGAGAGCAAGGTGAACCCTGGATGTGTGTGTGTGTGAGGGAGTACCTGTGTGTTTTCCTCTTAAAGGAGCAGAATGTCCTAATAACAGCAGAAATATAAATAACATTTTCCCACATTGGGTAAATTTCAGTTAAATTTTCAGGTGCTTTTAAAGAAACCTGAAATGTGTGCAAAAACAAATGTTAAATATTTCATAACCCATGTAGTTAAAGGTCAGAATACCTTCACCTGCTTGCTGGTTCTGCTCCTGATTCTGTTCCTGTTCCTGCGGTTGTTCTTCTGCAGCCTCATCGCACACAGAACCAGCAGATGCATTTTGGCTGCCTGTCTCCTGTTAGACGGCAGCACAAACACAATGAATTTATTTTATTTGTGGTATTTCTTGCTGTTAGATCTAACCTTGATTTTATTTTTGTATATTCTTATCAAATCACCCGTGGGTTCAAACTAATAAACCCATGTGTGTTAGATCAACAGTCTGACCTGGCATGCCTGTGCAGAGACAGGCGATGGCACTTTAGGAGTGGGACATCTGATTTCCAGGCTGTAGTGAGTACTCAGTGCACCTTTGTTGGTCAAGGTGATAGTCCGTGAAATAACCTGGCCCAGCACCTGGGGACCAAAGTCAACGTCCTCGCTCTCAACCTCCATCTACAGAGAGAGAGATATTACATGGCTCTTTATTTGTAGTGCGACTGTGGAAAATCTCCAATATAATGAGAGCTATAATATAAGCATGGAATATATAGCTGGGTGTGTGCAATACATATTTTACACATAACATATGAAAAGTCATTTATCTGTACTAGGGCTGTCAAACCATTTAAAATGCTATCAGATTTATCACATCATTATCATTAATGAACAGTTATTCATCATTAATCAAGATAAACTAACCTAGTGACAAAACACTGTTTTTGTAGCATTAAAAAAGACTTACTTCACATTTTTTGGTGTTGCACCTGATGGGCAAATTAAAGGAACCTCCTGAGGATATGAAGTTGACTTCACCTTCAAGGTCCTCGTTAATCTGCAGATTTCAGATCACAAACAAATGCTGTCAGCTAGTAGACATGCCCTTCTTTTTGCACTAATGGGAAGTTCATTTCCTACTTTAGGAAAAATTAAAACATCAGAACTGTATTAGCTCAAACCATTCCTTCAGAACTACGTCTTTTAGCCTGTAATATAAGTGAAAATGCAACAAACCAGAGGTTGAAAAACAGCCTGCATTTCACAGCTCATCCCAGCAGGAACAGAACCAGGAGGATCGAAGCTGAAAGACAGATAAAATATAAGACATTTAACAGGAAAGCTATGCCAGCACAGGTACTAATGGGTTCAATAGTATTGTCTCAAAGTCAGTTGAAGATGCTGGCAATGGGATTGGGATGAGGTCCGGTCAGGATTATAAATGAGCTCATCAGAGGAACAGCTACTGCTATTGAAAGTGAAATTTGAGATAATTTAGACGCAATGAAGAAACACAGGTAATACATTGACCCAAGTCCAGGACCCAGTCCAGAAAACCCATTTCAACTGTATTGACCAGTAGAAGTTATGGTGACAACAAATGACCAGCAATTAAATATGAAAAATATAGGTTTTGATGACCCTCCAAAGACAAAGTGCTAGTGCAGAGAAAATAAATAAATAAAGAGTTTCAGTATTACTTTACAGCTTTGTCTTACTACATATAACATTATTATTGTCTACCACTGAACTGAAGTTTAATTCCTGTGTGCCTGTGAGCTACAGCTGAAAACAACATGTGCATCACACAGCACATGTTTATGCTAATGCTAACGCTGCCCTGAGGAGTTTTATAACCGGCTGCTCTTCCACAGACACAAGAACAGAGTCAATAAATATGAATATTGGAAAGCAGCCAGCCTCAGAAACAGAAAGAGAGAATTCTATACCCAGACAGAAATAGAAGCAGTATTGTGCATAATAACGTGGTAACAATTTTTTTCAAAATACAGTTCAGGCAGAAGGCTTAAGGTTAAAATATATTTATATATTTTATATACTGAGTTTGAAAGTTTTATATTATCATAGAGTATCTAGAGTATCATAGAGTATGACAATTTGGCCTTGAGGTAGTACAACACAAAGGTTGTGTTTTTTGTGAATAACTTCCTAAATAATAAGAAGCAAGATGGTTCTCCTTCTCTATCATTAAGGTTCTATCTATAGACCTTGGAGTAGAATGAAAGATCTTGAACAGGGCAGGTTTGTCCTTAAATGTTTTAAATTTCTTTTTAGGAATTTTGGACCACTGTAAGGGCAGTTTTGTCAAACATTGAACAAAATACTGCCATGTTTTTCCTGGTTTATAATGTTTTATGTCACTTTATGATATTGCTAAATATTGTGCAAAGATATTTGAATGAGAAGAAAACATAAAAATACTTCATTGGGTAAAAAGATGCCACTAGTTTCTGTATTGGGGCTAAAAGCCCAAATAAAGCTTAATAGCAAAAATGGCTAAAAGCTAGCGATACACTACAAAAAAAAAGAAGCAAAAATAGTAAGACATGTTGTGCATCCATCTTGGAAACATGTGAGCTGTTTGTTACAGTTATCCTGTCTTCAGCTCTATTCAATGCCTTGTAAATGTAATATTATATCTATTTCGAGGGAGCTGTCAGAAATTTTAAGGGCACTTTTCGACCATCTGCTGAAGTCTGACACTGTTGGGTACTGCAAAAAATGGCAGCATGTCTTCTCACAACATCAGTGACTCATTTTTTTCCTTTTGTGGAAAAATCAGCTTTTGGGACAAGTTTATATTAAACTTGTGCAGAATCAGTTTTTGTAAATAAAAAATATAACAATACTTTAGATTTACACATGTTACTGTCATCAAATTCATTTTAATGGGCTGTATATTTAGTCCAGGATTTTTTTTTTTTTTTAGTAAAAACCCAACAAACAATATTGGAAATGCCAACACCTGCTGAGGAGCAGATGATGTAAATATCACATGCAGCCTGAGGCCGTCGTCCAGCTCACCACTGTGACCTGGAAGTGTTTAAAAGCAGTCACATTTGGTCAGGGAAGTCTGCCACTAATTATTTCTGTCACATATTTTCATTTCATTATAATTATCATTTTTTTCTGGCTCACTCCCTTCCTTGTTGATTCTATTTTTCTTTCTTAGTTTCTAAACAGGTGGTCCTCAAAGATGTGAAGAAAAATAGAACAGTTCACTTGGGATTAAACGCTGAGTGAGGCAGTGTTTGAAACAGCCAGATCCATCCCTTTAAATATATATATATGAAAAGCAAACCAGGCCACACTGTACAATAAATCCATCGCAGCACTCTGTAGTGATGAAGTACAGAGCCCTGTATTAGTGACTTCACTCTTTGTTCTCTCATAAATTCTTAGTGAATAGCGAGGCTTCTACAGCAGTAAATAAATAGGCGCTTTCATATTTCTATTCAGTGTAACAAGGCTTAAACATCATACACTTAGGAGGGAACTCAGTCTTCAGTCTTTTGGGAAAAATGCAATAACTGGAGTAGTTGGAAGCAAATATACATCTCCTGTCGTTTTACCTTAACATTAAAAGAAATGTATACATGAAATTTGAACAGAAATATGCCATTAGCTATTACAATAACTATAACATTATCTCATTAAGTTAAGTACTTAAACCAACATACAGTGGTTACTTGTGTGTCACAACAGCATCATTCACACAGGCCATTCTATTGCTTTGAACACTGGATGGTTTTGAGAGTAAGCCAAAGTTTCTAAGACACAATTTCCTCTACCTTTTTTCTTCTCCATTTAAGTCATGCCAACTCTGTGTCTTGGTCTTGTCCAATGTTTCTGATCAAAAGCCAGTTTTAAAGGAATTTGTTCATGTTGGGTTAAGAATTTCCATTTTTACACTTTTGGGGGTCACAAAAGAACATAACAGCTTTTTAAAGATGTTTGAGTGCCCGAAGAAAGATGTAGCACCATTGGTCTTAGAATTTTCGACTGGGCCACTTTTTGTGTCCGTCACCTGAATTACAAATTTAGATTTGCAAAAAGAAAATTGCGGGAAAATGTGAGGGAGAGACATACAACATCAATCCAGAAATCTTGCATTAGTGTAATTTAAACTATAAACACACAGACAAGAAAAACACCCAATGTTGTTTTGGCTAAAAACCCAACAATGTGTGTGTGATATCACATTTGTAGATCCCACCATTCTTACTACACTTTCATACTTTATGTCACAACTCAGCTAATGAACACAGAGACCACAGAGGGGTATCTTCCTCTCACACATGCACCTACAGTACATGGGAGGAGGTGATACTCATTTGTAAAGTACAGCTTGGATGTGGCTTCGCCTGGCAAGCCCAGGCTTGTTGTTGTTTTGTCCCAGTAGTGAAAAGATACAGCAGAGCCCATTCTGGCACAGTTGCACCTACGCTGGGAGGGGAAGCCATTTTTAGAACGTGAGGGGGCGTACAGGGAATCATGGGTTGGTGTGAAAAAAGCCCAGTGTGTTCCTGGTTTTTACGTTTCACTCTCCTGCCGTGTTTGATGTTGACTGTTTTCAGATGGGTGAGCCACAGAGGCTTCGGAGTTGTCACGACTGATTGTAGGTTTTTAAAAGTGTGAATAAGGAGTAGGGTTTAAACAAAGCAAACATTAAATGGTGAAAGAAAAAGTTCAGCTGAGCATAAATCATCTTGCAGAGCAGCACAGAATACTTTTAACTCAGCGTTTTTTTTATATAATCTTTTTAAGGAAAATAAATTATATTTACCAAAGTTAATGGGATGATAACGAGGTTACACAAATTACTTTAATTTTTGGCGCACCAATTAATGTATTCATGCGATAGAGCTATATGCCGTAAAAGGAAATAAAAATTGAAGCCCATGCTAAATGCAAATACAGTGGAACCTTGGTTTTCAAACTTAATTTGTTCCTTCGTAAATTAAAAAGTTTAAAAACTGAAACAATTTTCCCCATAGGATTCAATATAACATGGATTAAACCGTTCCTGGACCCCGGATGATTGATTATTCAAACATTTCAACAGTATTTTGTGTACAATACACGAACCCAACGAAAATAATTAGATCTAGTAGAGTTTTTCTTGCAACAACGTTTTTTCCGCAACTCCAAAATAAACTACAGAGTGGACGTTGTTTTCATATCAAAATGTCATAGTCTGATTGGACCTTCTCTAGTCTTTAATCCTGGATTATTCAACTATATTTCCTACTACATTTATTAACAGTTAGTAGTTTAATAGTTTGCTCCAGTATTATATTTCTCAAGTGTCAGTCTTGCACTGTGTTGGGTGTACCACTCTAAACTTCATGAAAATATTTCTCACTTCACTTCTCGACACCTTGACATGTTTTAAGGACTCTTTCTGAATTGTTAGCATCAAAAATACTTTATGATGTTTTTGTTAACCCTAACCTACATTATTCTGTGTGTATACTGTATATCTGAAAAATTATCCTCGGTTTGTCCAATAATTCAAATGTCAGGAGTATTAACATACTAACATACAATTAGTCTATATGATGCTGCTCCCCCGTAGACAATCACACAATCAAAGAATACAAGTCAACCGTCAATATCCACTTCTCTTCCTGTTTCAAGGACATGACTGAGAGATACCCATTAGTGGGACAACGACTGGACATGTGGTTAAGGAATAGTGACAACAGAGTGATAAGATTAGACAAATGATTCCAAAGCTCCAGAACAGCCTCAGTAGCTCCTCACCAACCATGCTGTGACCTGGGAGAGCGCTTCCCCCAGTCAGGCAGAAAAAGAAGGGAGAAGAGGAAACCGAGTCAAGTCATGTGGAAACTGATGAAGAAGTGATACACAACTAGTGACCAGCAGAACACTGCATCTCTGCATGGTCCTGTAGGCTGTGAGCAGGCTCAGAGTGGGGAGATAGCAGAGATGGAGTGTGACTCACAGTGCTGAGCCTCACAAGAGAAGCTGTGAGCGTGCTGATCTAAGTTAGTGTCCATATGTGGGAGGACAGGCTCTGCTTTCATGTCCACTCCATCATCTTCCACACTGACAATCACTGCCTGTGTTGAAAACCTGACACGAGGATTCACAAGCATGTGTTTCAGTGAACTAACTAAGCAGGGCAACTACAACTGGTGTTGCAGTAAACATGTCAGATACAGTGGAGCGGAGGATGAGAGTGAGAATCAAGAAGAAAGAGGAGTCCGGCAAAAATATGAATGCCCTGGGCAGCATTAAACCCAAAACAACAACCAACATTTCAGCCTCTTTCATCATTGCTGTAGAATAACATTTTGCATCAACTCTACTGCACAGAAATATCTATGTGGACATTAGAAAATTAAAAAGCACTGTGAAGAAGTAGGATTACCAAAAAGTAAGTCCAGACGTTGCTTAAGATTTGCAAAAAAGAAAGGTAGAATGTAGGAAATAACACAGGCATAACACAATTATTAATATATTAAAATATAAACACTACATGGAGAACATGTAGCGTGAACAGCAGGATATTTGCCAGAATTACAGTTTAGCTTAAAACCAAAATTGTTTTTGACTGCGACAAAGTTAATGTCTTACTTGATGCAGATGAAATCTTCCAGTTTTTTGGTGACACCAAGAAGCCTGAGGTGGTTCGTGGTGCCGCTGGTGTTCGTCAGGATGATTTTCCTCTTATATGTTTTTCCAATATCAAAGTCCTACAACAGGGTCATGCATGTAGTCATTGTAGAAAGCAATCAGCAAAAGGTAGATAATAAGGAATGAGAGTTGAGTATTGGGAAATCAATGTGTTACCTTGAAGATGACGACCTCTGGTTTGCTCACAAATGGTGACCTTTTCACCGCTTTTCTAGGTTTGTCCAGTTTTATTCGAGTCTTTATGGGCTTCTCCTTTGGTGCAGGCTTCTCTTTTGGAGGTTTCTCTGGCTACACAGCAGAAACACATCAATAGTTCTCACCATAAAAGAAGAGAATATGGAGTAAAGACTATATTTATATATGTACATAGCTATGATGGGCAGTAGAAAGACAGGAGACATTGGGTTGAGGTTTAGGATTATTATTTAGTACAAAATAAAATTGTATAGTGAACAAAACAATGGTAGATCATATCCTAGAGTTGAGTATATCGTTACATCCCTAATGTATTACAATTATTCATTTGACACAAGTTGTTGCATTTTCTGTAATTTTCAAATTTTATTATGTTTTGTATTATATTTGAATTTATGTTTTTATTAGCCATGGGACTCTGTGCTTACACAGTCCCTTTACTGAGTTGAGAAGAAGATTTTGCTCAGAGCATTGTAGTGATGTGTGGGTTATGTGAACTCATCACTTTCACTCCACTTGTCCTGGTCTTAGAACTCTAGCCTTTGACACTGCACTCGCTCACTTTGAAGCCTCCAAAGCCAACAGGACATTGAGAAGTGAGAGCTGCCACCTCACATTTACAGTAAAATGTGTATACAGTCATGTTACTGTGAAATATAAGTAAATCTTAACAGGTGAGTTTACATAGAGTAAAAATAGCACAACTCTACCAGTCAATTAGGAACTGTAGGTGAATGCAGCACTGATCCTTAAGCAAAGATTTTGCTTGTGTTGTTGCAAAACTTACTCCAGAAACTTGTAAAGCTCTGTGCATGAAGAACAAAAACAAACTGTGGGACACTTCTAATTTGCAGGCTTTGCATTATCAAGATGGATGTGCAGCTACCTGGAGCTAAATTTATTGTTTGTCTCTGTCCCTATGCAACCTAACTCTCTTATTGGGCATTAGTCTATGAGTCAGAACAGCTAAAAACCCTACATATTTTTCAATAAATAGAGAAAATATATATGAACCCTAAGTGGAAATATTGAACATCCTGCTGCAGGTAGAAAATATATGCTCCAAAAATGCAATAAAGCCCAGCCGTAAAAAAGGAAAATGCCAGCTGTGAATAGGAGATGATTTATGAGTGTATAATTTTAGCAGCTCGCAGGGATGTGCTTGTGACTGCTGTGGCTGTGGCTGCTGTTGCAGCAAACCTTATACTGCTGTTCCCACAGGCCAGAGAATTCAGGCTCGGCCAGGCTTTCGGAAGGCCCCTGCTGGTCCATTTCCACATCTGTGGGTCCCTCCTGATCCTCATCATCAGAGGAGGCTGATGAGGAGCTGCTGAGGTCATGGAGGAGTCCAAACTGTTCGAACAAATACACAAAGATAATGGAGCTACACCTCTTTAAAATGCACCTTGTCACCCAATTCTGTCACTTTGCAGACAAACCACTCACGGCTGTCGTCCCCCGCTCTGTTGGTGAAGTAGGTCTGGGGCCCAGGAGGATCTGCAGATCCTCTTTTGCCTTCGCAAGAGAGGCCATATTTTCAGTGGTTGAGGGTTTGGCCGGTTTCGTCTGGTCCTTCATGGTACTCTTTCCATGTTTTTCCTCCTGAAGTGTTTTCGCCACAATCGCCTCCTTCTTTCTTTTCAGTTTTTCTTCGAATTCCCTGAGAAGAATTAATCGAAATCACTGCATTATACAGAAATGGGGTCATATACCGATCAGCGTACAGTGAGAGAAAACACCCACACCCTGCTGAATCGAGTGGGAGTGGAGGACAAGCATGTGGGAAGGGAGAGGAGACTAGTGAGGAGGAGAGTTGAGAGAAGACAAGAAGGAAGGACAGGAGAGGATAGGGAAGGAAAGGGGAGAAGAGGAAGAGAGGGCAGGGGAGAGGAGAAAAATGAAGTGAAAAGAAGAGGAGAAAAAGAAAGAGAAAAAGGGGAGAGAAGGGACGTTTAAGTTAAGGGGGAGAAGAGGAGAAGAGAGGAGAGGAAAGGAGAGGAGCGGGAAGAGGAGAGGAAAAGTAGAAGCGGAAGAGAGCAGAAAGGAGGTGAAAACTCACTCTCGTTTTCGTTTCAACTCATCTAAGTGCTGGAGCTGGTAGAGATATTTGACTGAACCGATGTCCTGATTTTGCATTGATTCTTTCAGTTGTTTTTCTTCCTCCTCTTTCTTCAGAGCTAAAGCTTTAGCTTTACTCTGTTGGGCCCGTAAGCCCTCCTGCAGAAAACACAGCACAATTAATAGTTTTTCAACTGAGGTTTTGTAACAATCACCTCCTTGCATTATTTAGAAAAAAAAAGAGAATAAAAACTGAAATCATTAGATTTAACATATAATTATCTTATACATAATTATATAGGAAGTAAAAAATGCTTTTGTTTTTCCAAACAAACTATTAATTAACAGACAATTATTAATGAATTAATTTTATACTACTCTATTGTGTTCAGGGTCAAGCTAGGAGCCAGTTACACTCTCAGCAAAGGAGCGTGGGGGATAGGAGGGATACAATTGTGATGGTAACACTCAAATCCATACCTGCAGTCAATTTAAATTAAGAAATCAACATGATTGGCATTTCTGAACTGTGGACAAAAGGTTGAGGCTGTAGAAGATGTACATCACACCAATATTCTTTGATCAGAAAACAGTCCCACAACCCACAGCTTGAGTCCAAAATGTCTACATGTGAATATCTGATTAACACAGCACCCAGTGGCTCGTTGGTCTAGGGGTATGATTCTCGCTTCGGGTGCGAGAGGTCCCGGGTTCAATTCCCGGACGAGCCCAAAAAATAAATAGTGGTTTCTCCCTATACTTATAATACTTTCAGATTCCTCAGCATTTGGCACGTTTAAGCAACCTACTCAAGTTGGAACAGGCGACAGACAGAAAAGGTATTTTGCTTTGGCATGCCAAAGGGGACAATGTAGCTGTTCCAAAAACTTCAGGACTATTTAAATGTCTTAAGCAAATCAATCTCTTGGGTTCCTAAAATAAGATAATGTTAAAGAAGAAGATTTTAGAACCTGGTCAATAATATTGCATGTTTATGATGTGCTCTGAGCATTATAAATAAAGTTCTTTAAATGTCACATTTCCACCAGACTGCAAGAAGAGATAATCAGAATTGTGATCATTTTCACACTGTTTAAATATACATGACCACGTGTCCATGCATATCATACATTTCATATATCACTTTATAATGACTTAGTGCAAGTCAGACAAGGTAAAGCTGTGCCAGCACATCATTAAAGCTTCTCGAGTACGTAATGCACGTCCAAATATAGTCTGCACTGTTCACATATGCACTTAGAAATGATCTTAATGTATACTGTACCATCTATACGCCAGATATGAAAATATCAATAATACATTGGGATGCAGCTTGTTTACAGTCATTACTAAAACAAGGGAACTGGTACGGACGGTAGGGGTTTCTTACTTGTGTGGCTGCTATGTTAGATTTCAGTGAATTGACAGCCTGCATCCTCTTCTCGTACAAATGCTTGTTCTGTTCCTCATGTTCAACCTCTTGCTTGTGTACCCTGTATGAAATGGGAACAGCCACATATGATGAGAACGTTCACTTCCATAAAAATAGAACAGCCTTAAATGTCATTGCACAACAGTGGAGCAGTGGAGTGCAACCAAATTAGGTAAATGGGTAAATAAGGCATTTCATTTAAGTAAATAGGTAACTAATATAAAGGCAGTTTAAGATTGATTTGCAAGATTGAAACCTTCAAGTGACCACCATTTCTTTTTCAAACAGTTATAGCTTCAGGAAAGCTAAATGATAAACATAGAACTCCCATAACGTTGGCCAAAGCTATAGCAATAAGGGTATTTCAATAAAGTAGATTAAGAAAAAATAAAAATATCTGACAACAGGTCAAAACAGATAGCTAAACTCTAACTGCAAAAAATTTCAAAGTTTATAAATATTAAAATCTTTAGTCCAACAGATGTAAGTAAATCCTAACATGTATATACAATCAGAAATAATCCAGAAATACTATCAATGTAAACAAGAATACATTATATATATAACATTCTGTCACAAATATTATCTTATCTTAATATGAAGTAAGTCTATAAACATATATATATATAATATATATAATAATATATAAAACACACTGAAAATTAGCCTAAGGACTTGCCCAAAAACACCCAAGCTAGCTGTTTTTTTTTAAGAAGAAAATTGCTAAGTGCCTTGCAAGTAGAGAGCAGAGAGTCTTGGGTCCAATTCCCAAAGGAACCACATATCCCTAATGGTGCCTCCCATGTGGCAGCTTGTGAGTTGCAAACACGTAGCTAATGGCGCCCTAATGGCAGTCTATGTTGGTTGCAAAGACTCACACTATAAATTTCCCCATGGTGAGAAGTAAGGGACTAGATTATTATTGTTATTGGTAGTAGTGGTAATAGTATTATATAATATTAAGTGGAACAGGTAGAAGTGAACTAGAAGATGAAAAATAGCTTTTAATAGATAGTAAGCCCAAGAAAGAACAATGTAGCTCAAGTGTCCTTCAAACCCAAACAATCGTGCTTATACTTGCTAGTACATTCTTTAATATGACACAGAACATTGCTGTATAACATACAGTAAGAGTTTCATAGTAATCCTCCTTTATACTGACCTTTCAAACGTCTCCTTCAGGTACTTAGAACCTTTGTGCGTAGTCTTATTTCCATGAGCATCTTCACCTTTCTTTTTGCTGATGTTGGACTGTTTACTGTCAGTACACAGCCAGGGACAAATGTAATCAAAGTCTTTACATTTACTCCACTGTAAATACCATGATCAGTTACTAGTAATCTGTTGTAAAGCTAAACCCAAGTTAGAAAAGAATACATTTTAGATATTTCCAAGTACAAAAGGTTCTCTCAAACACTAAAAATCATGTCAAATAATGAACATTTCTTGTCTTGGCAGAGGACACTGCAGTATCACATGATGGATTTACAATATTCCATTACTGACCTCTCCAAGCTCTCCTTAGAAGGAGTACTTTGATTTTCTTGACCATCTTCACTTTTCTTCTGATTCTCCTGCTCCTGCATCATGGCTGCTTGTTTACTATAAGTGCACAGAAGGGGACACATGTACATGTAGTCTTTAGATTTACTCTGCTATTACTGTCTGTCATCTACAAATACTGCAGTTTTAAACCAATAAAGTGCAATTTCTTTATGAATATATATATATATCATTTTTAATATAATTTGTTTTATTGCTCACAATCTACCTTCTAGGTAGTTATTGGGCACCCCAGGTCTAATTAATCTGACATTTCATGACCCCTGTGGAATCCCAGGGGTGGTGTGCCCCCTGTTGGTTGCCTCTGCTGCAACACCAACAAAAACACTGCAT